AGTTTGCTCATGTCAGATAGGTCCCTTCCTCCTCCAGTTTTCAGTAACCCATCTGAACAGAGGCTTCCTTAAATGTCCTTCTCTTTTAGCGGTTTTAATTCAGTCCAGACCTTTTGTCAGACAACTTTTAGGAACAATAATTCTTTCACACATGAAAAAGACCCCTGACACACAGCATTATATTAATTATCATTAGCTGCATGCTTCTTCGCAATTCTGGCACCAGTTTATAGTACACACCTATAACACTCATAATACAGCATCTCAAAATGTGCTGGAACAGCAACATTTTCTCAGTGCTGAATGAGGCCCCATAAGGACAATAACTGCGTTCAAACCCCGAAGGTACCGTAATTCTGCTCACCTCCACAATACGTTACAGCTTTTGATCTCTGCACCAACCTTTCTGTTGCACTACTTTACCTTTCCAAAAGATGCTCGCTTTTGACATTCTGACTTTACAACTTTAAAAGGCAAACAAGCATCAGTCTTTGGTAAATTGTCTTAATGGATGCACTGCTTCTAAACTCATTGCTTGTTTAACTCTATCTAGTTTTGACTTCTAACCCTTAAGTCGTACCTATACAAGGATTAAATAAGTTTTTGGATTCTTAAAGAAGGCCCAGAAATGCCCACAACTGCCATTGGTGAGTATTTGATCCCCAGGATACCCACGCTCACACAGCATCTTCCTACTTGACCCAAAACTCCTTCCTCCAGGCGCAGTTTTGCTTCTGCAGGGCTAAAAAGACCTCTGAGGGCTTGGGTAGATCTGCTCTGCGTAAGCACATTGCGCTGTGAGGACCCCCTTTACAAAAGATCATTGTACCTACTTATTTTTAAATGTAAATGTGCTGCCCATCCTTTACACAGTATCTGAGACATAAGAACTGCATTACCCTGAAGAATGAAGTCTAGGTTCAAGGCCTTCCTCAGTCTGAGAAAGATAAACCTTGGTGGCCTACCTCCCATGAAAATGCACTTTCACCCTTTCTTGGGCCCAGAAGCAGGGGAAGAGCAGGGGTGGTTAGTCTTTGAGGGCTGGTGGTTAAGACAACTCTCCTTCTTAGAACAGTCAGATTTGGGTCGTAGTCCCAAGACACTTGAAAGTTAATGGACTCGCCATGAGCTTGTCCTCCAGGTGTGTTTTAAAGGAAAGCATTTAAACATGGGCTTGGTTATCTAGGGGAAAAATAAGTAGCTGCAGTCAGGATATTCTGGACTCAAGGTCCTGTGTTGGTGGAGGTCCATCCAGGCTTAAGCTCCTTACCATCCAGAGACAGCAGAAGATGTCAGACACCATTTGCCAGTCAGTGTTTTCTACAGTTTCATCCAACACAGTGCACCACCTTGCCTGCATCCCATTTGGGGCTCCTCACCATCCCCCTGTAGCACTGAGGAAAGCCAGACACCTCTCTCTGGGTGCTTGGAGGCAGACATCAGACCTGCGTGGCTTGGAGCTGGCTGTGAGCCTTGTCCTAGCTAACCATTACACCCCTTCTTCATGTGGGTACTGCTCACAGGTTACAGTACAGACAACTTTTAACATTTGGGCAGACTCAGCACACTGAGCTTTCGTGGTATGTCACTACAACACATTTTCCAAAACTTGAACACCTCTTGAACCTGTTTTCTGGAATCTTTCTTACATTCCAGCACCTTTTCCAAAATACTGCACTAACAGCCTTTCAGGTCATGTGTATGGCTGTATTAGCTCCCTCACCCCTCTCAGACACTCTGCTTGTGTATTCAGGGTTTTCACTGGTGGCCCCCAATCCAGTATTGGATTAGGAGTTTTAAGCAACCATTCATCAACTCCTTTTTAGGTTGACTTCACACCAGGATGTAATAAAACTGCCTTGCGTATGATAATATCTAGCCCAATTACAACTTCCGCATGAGGCGTGGGGTCATTAACAAGAAAGAAGATTTTAAATTGTTTTAGAAGCCAGCTCATGCTAGTTTTTGAATTAGCTCCTCGTGTACCCCAGGAAAAAGGTTTGAGAGCTGGGATGGCCAGTGGCAGGCAGGGGACCGATACAGCTAAAGAAAGAGCATGAGCCACTTCAGAAGATATGTTCCAAGCTCCTCACCAGGTCTTTTGCCTTTTATTCTCCAATTCAGGTATTACATTGGCACTGGTTTCCACCAGGATTGTGCATGCACCTTGACATGTTCACAGAAGTTCAACAATACAGAGTTTCACAACTGGGACAGGTCCCTGCAATTGGGACACCAGGGTGACAAAACAGATTCTGGAGAATTTCCCACTGAATAGGATGGAGAGAAGATAATTACCACATCGTAGCACTACAATGCCTCATAAACATAGAATAGACTAGATCCATTTACCACAAAAATCACAGAAAGTAACTGATCAAAGAATATCTCTTTTATGTAAAATATACATTTGTAGGATATAATTTTAATACATCTTTTATACTTATTGATGTTGTGTTTGCAACACTCTGAATTTAAAAAAAAAAAAAAAAACAAAATTGTCTTGCTGCCAGAATTTTATTTCTCATAATACTTATAGTTTGAGGTAACAATTAAAGAAGACTGTGTGCTGTGAAGAAAGTCAGTGATGTTTGTCTGCAGTCACATTTCTGTTATCAAAGTGGAAAGTAAACTTAAGACTTGGCATGTACACTAGAATTCATACAAAGATAGGTCATGGCAAACTGAGAAAGCGAGGACTTATGCAAACCTACTCTGTTCACATTTGTGACCTTTGCAAAATATACCATTATTATGACAGAAGTCAAGACAGATGTCGTTTACATCACTATCATTATTAAGTGTGTGTCTTTGTATGATCCACAGCACAACTTACTGCAGGAACCAGGAAGAATACACACAGGGGTGTGGGTCTTTGCATGGAGCCTTAGCAATGATGACTTGAATTCAGCTTTCCTTGATATAGATAAAAACTGATATTCCATGCACACACGTTTTATTTACAGCTGACTCATCAACAGTGACTAGTCACCCCTTCCTCTGGCAACAGTAATTATGAGCAGTCTTTAATCTTCTTTAACAAGCTCTACTTCACATGTAAAGTCTCAGTGACCTCCTCAAGGCATGAGTTGTTTATCAGGGCCCATTCAGCAGCAGCAGTCTCTTTCCAGTACAGTTCTTGGTATGGCTAAATTCCATTGTCCCTTTTTCAGCAGTCAAAAATCCATGATAAATTCTGTACAACACTGTAGTTAATATAACAGCAGCACCAGATATTATATTAATTCCTTTGCTAAAAGCTCTTTGCAATTATCTCTCTATTGACAATATCTTACCAAAACTAAATCAATGTACATCTCTAAATATCAGAAATGTATACTTTGATAAATACATTATTGTACAAGAATTCTGACATGCAGGTCATGCTATTGGGCTAGGCTATATACAGAAGAACATGTTACATGGTCAACAGTAAGTTATATTTCTTTTCCTAACAAAAAATAAAACATGACAGTCAGGGATTATTCAACAATCTCAAGGATCTCTTAAGATTTGGGTTGTTATGGTCTTCCCCATGTAGTTCTAAAACTCTACGGTTTAGGATATTTTTTCCTCACTAGCCCAGAACATCAAATCTGCCATTGCATTTGTCCTGTTGCATAAACAGAGGTTAATATTGAATGAAAAAGCCACTAGAGGAGATACAGTTTCAAAACTGTAATGAATGCTGGTTGCTAGGAGGAAGATTGATGCAATAGGCAACCGGTCAGCACTGTAAAGCCACTACTAAATCCCACTCAAAAAATCTTCAGAGTGCTCACGAGTTAGTCTAAATGATACTAACTTGCACTTGAAAAATATATATATTTGTATTTATACACATAAGTATAGTCCATATGAAAAAAAGAGAAAAGGAGAAAAATGTCCTTAGTTAACCTTAAAAGAGGGGGGCATTTTAACAGTATCTCTGTGCTTTATGGAGACAGATGGAGAATACAGTAGACAGGTTGCAAAACGGACAGACAAACAACATATAGGACAAAGCACCTCAAAAAACATTGACTGAAGAAATTTTTGAAGCTCATGAGCCAGAGGTATAAGGCTGGTCAAAAACCCAACTTGAGAACTACTACCCTCTTACAGTGGTACAAAAAAGCCCCCAACAATCTTCTCAATTTTGCTTGGTACTCAGCCTCTGAAAGTGTTGAAGAACCCTGGAGTAGAGAAATGACTACAGTACCAAGCAGCACTTGCTAGCTTAAAATTGCAAGTCTGGATGGCGTTTACCTTTCTTGCATGTTTTGTGCCTTCCCCAAGCCATTAAGAAAGAGATCTGGCTTCTGCTTGCGTGTAACCAGTAATGACAACCTCTTTGCAGTTATCTGTGTGCAAACAACCGGAGACATTCAGAACTCTGATACAGCAATCCAGTACCGAAGTAAGTTAATCACAAAATAAAGCCATTTATAAACAAGTAGATCATTAAAAAATAAAGGAAAAGGTTAAACAAAGAAAAACAATCCCACATGCAGACCAGTTTATCAGTGC